AGACGCGGCGTGGCGGCTAGCTCAAAGTAGAACAGCTCAGCACGCACGCGTCGCGCCAGGCGCTCCATCTGCGGCGAACCAAGCACGCTGTCACGTGCTATCTGCGCGACGTGCGGCATGCTGGTCACGTCGTCTAACGCTGGCTGTATCCCGTCGTACTCCATGTCGAACCGAAAATAGGCGCCATGGCTTTTGTCCTCCTCTTGGCTCACCAGGTTTTTCCACGCCGTGCCGGCGTTTTGCTTCCAAAAAGCCCGATATAGTCGCGCAGGGAACGAGTCCTCCCACATCGCAGCGATCCCCGCGCTCGCCGTGGTACGGGAGCCAGCGGAACCCGTCCCCAGCGAGACGACGGTGCTTGGCTTAGGCGCCGCTGGGAAAAGAATTGCCGCCTCCTTGATGGCAATGGGGGCTGGGTTGTTGTACCCGAGGCCCCCATCCTGGAATGTGCCGGCGCCTTGGATGTGGTGGGCCGTGAAGTAACTGACGGCCATACTCAGTATATGAACAAGGATCTCTGACCCGACACTTACTATGGCGCTGCAGTGCAGCAACGGAGACTGTTCAAGTCAGCACGCAAGCACTCGACAGGGACCCGAACGCCACGAACATTTCCCACAGAGGCGCTGCGGCGACTCCCTGGTCGAATCGAACGACTTCATAGTCTGTCTGGTGTCAGCCATCTGAAAAAGCTCGCGGGATGGAAAGTACCCTGGTTATCATGATTCTCTGCGTTGTAGTTGGTCACGATAAAAGTGCTGCTGTCCTGTGCGCTCGTCAGTGTCATACCTACCAGGGTCCCCGCGCGGCTCGCTTCAGCGGAATCAACAATGCTTCGACAGGCGCCATACGCCTCCTGTTGAATGGCTTCGAGCTGGTCGGCGGCGTACTTGCAGTCGACAAGCAAGGACTTGACGAGCTCGACAGCAGGCGCCACAAAGGGTGCGGCGTGGAAGAGCGACCGTACGATGCGTGTGTAGCGAGATTCCTCGAACGCGAGCTTGGACGACGTTTCAAAGTACTCGATGCATTGGTCCACGGGCCAGCCGTTGATGCACAGCGCACATGCGATGAGGGCCCCTGTGAAGATAAGCCAGCTGGTCCGCAGGAGTCCAAGGGCACATGTACCTGAGCTGGTGCCGAAGACGACGTCAAAGTTCTGTTGGACGGGGTAGGGCAGGCCGATGGCTTCCTGCAGGACGCTGAGGAACTCGAGGGGAGCGCGACCCCTTGTGCCGCCCCCATCAATGCTTAGGATGCGTGTGGTGGCGGTGGCTGGTCGGACGCGGATGCAGGGACCAGCCGTTGCGCCGCATAGCAGACACTCGTCCGCATGGAATAGATACGGATCGCCCGCATCAAGGCGGGCAAAGGTGCAGACACATGTCTGGCATACCCAGTGCCGACAGGGCAGGCAATATTGGGGTCTACGTCGAACACAAACAAAGCAGGTGCTTTCCGAGGACGGAAGCCGCTGGTGCAGTTGCACACTCGTCAACTGATGTCGATGGGCATCTCTTGCCGAATCGAGGTGCTGGAGCTGGGGGAATAGTTCCGTCATGCTACGCTCCAGCGACCGACTGAGGTCGAATGGTAGCGGCGGCATCTCCGCTGCTGCTCGGATCTCTTCCAGCTCAAGGGTGGCTTGGGCGCAGGCATCACGGTACAAGGAACGAAACACGTCCTGGGGATGGAATTCTAGGGAGCTTGTCAGTTACTTGGCCAGTGCGCTCCCAGCAGGCAAGGCGTACGGTGCATCCCAGGTGGGTACTGGTCTAGCAAGAGGCTCGAGGCGGCTGTGGGATGGCACAGGACTCCAGCGTGTCGTCATCGCGTCCGCGGAAGAAGTTTACCAAGTGGGTTGCTAGATCGGAAGCAATGGGATTGGCCGCTCGCGCCATCTGAATCAAGTCTACCGGCGATCGTGGCGACCTACCTAGGTCCCGTGACGCCGCTTGGAGGAATGCGACGGTATGGCGAGCGGAGAAGAGAAAGCTTCTGTCGCGTCGCTCGCGATGGACTACTCGGATGGCCTGGTAGAGTTTCTGACGAAGAGTTCCTAATTGCTTTCTCTGCCACATCCCGCGTTGGGTTGGTGAGAATGTCACGATGGTGATGGACTGAAAATGACGAGTCAGCGATGCAGGG